AAGCCACGATTGGGACAGAGGACTACCTTACTGCCTGTGCTCAGCCGTGCCTCCTGGTCTGAAGCCCTCAGTGACACACAGCAGTGACTAGGAGGATATATACACAGCAATACGAATAGCCGTGGGTCTACCAGGAGACACTCGGGTAGGGCAGCTGAATCCCACATAAACAGTGCTACTGGGTTTGGAACGGAGCAGTGGGAAACCTGAGCGGTGGGAAAGACCACATACAATGGCTGTTTGCTTTACTTCTTTCTCACCTTTCTTTTTCCCACTGCCACACCTCAGACGGTGGGTTGGTTTTTGCTTCAGCTGGGATATCTGGCTGCATGTAATGTTACTCCAGTGATTCGCTGCTTCTTGAGTTGCAGCTCCAAACTAGAACAAGGCAGAAGAACAAAACATCAGAAAGGGTTCGGTACAAAAACAAAGCAGCAAAAACAAAGCAACACAGGCAGGTGAAGAGGGAGAGAAAGGGAGTGCATTTTCTAGGAAATACTCCCTGTTTCCTCAAAATACTGATACAAAGCCACATGAAACCCTTGGAAATTTTCCACAGACTTCACTGGACTTCAAGCCAAATTCCCTTTTCCACACTTGACAGAGTATTTCCTGTCCCAAATCTTGCTCTCATGAAGTGATGTGCTCCTGTCTTTCTGTTGATTTCAAGTAGGATTGTATCAAGCTCAGCAACATTGAGAATTGGTCCTCATATGAGAAACTGGTTTGGTGAAATCACTGTGCAGAGAATTCACCTGTTGATGCAGGTATGTAGGTGTAAATCGGGATTTAGCTGATCATCTCAGTTCTGTTTTCCCACTGTGCCGCAAGAAACACTTGTGGGAAGGGTCAGGCTCCCTGCATTCGTGGGGTTCCTGTGACAGGCTACACGAAATGGGCACTTGTGCTGAACCTTCCACAGTTGTAGGGTGGTCTTGAGTGGCCTCAGTACAAAACTATGACAGCAGCCAGCCAAAACCACTTGGATTTCATGTTTGAATCTAGAGGGTTCGTCATCTCCTAACTCCACAGCTTTGTTTCAGAATTCAGGCTTAATCATTAATTTCCACGTGCCTGTGGCCTGCATGCCTGCGGCGCAGAGAGAGACAGGGCTAGGCTGGTGAGCTTCGCTGGGAAAGCTGATACATGCTGCACTGCTTCCTATCACTTCCCCTCTGGTACCGAAATAAAGCCTACACACACCATGACTGCAGCCTGATTCTGGGCAGGGACCACACAACTCACTACCGGGAGGCCCAAGTATGCATTGTTTAATAGAATATCAAAGCAATTTATATTAATATGAAAGCAATTTATAATTATCCATTTTTTTTATATATATATCTCTCTCTCCATAAAGTCTACAACACGTAAATACTGGTTTTTTTCTATTGTACAGGTGAGAAAACTAAAGTCTAGAAGGGTATATGGGTTTCCCGTCTCTCACCGTGGCTTTCTTGCAGAACTAAGGGGTGATCATGACCCCTACAGCCCCGCCACACACTCAAGAAAATACCGGTACGTGGCCGTGCATCGTCCTTCCCAGCCGCCTCCACAAGGGCGGTTTCTCCCACCCAGACGGTGCTGTAACCCCCGGTAAAAGCACGCCTAAAAACCACTGCTACTGTCGGAAAAGAGCAACGCCAAGCTAGGAAAAACCCACATTGGAAGTGACCTTGTCTCAGCTCCAGAGGTACTTTGGGAATTATTCTGGGGGCGAGTAGGAGGCGGCGGGGGAAGCAGCCTCCCAACACGATTAAAAGATGTTTTCTGAGACCTGCTGTTCTCACCATCCAGCTACGAAAAAAAGGCGCTTGGACCATACGCATCACCAGCACATGAGTCACGCCTAAAAAATCTTTGAATGAAAGAGATTGTCTAGATAGTGCCGCTCTCCCACCGACAGCGTGCGGTGAAAGCCCCGTGCTGTCGCCTCGTGGCTGAAGCTGGTACCCAGCCCCGGCTGTGCTGATCCCAGCCCCGAGCGCTGGTTTTGGCTCGGTGGCTTTTGGATGGAATAGTGCTGCTCACCAGAACACCGGGACGATCGGGATCAGGAGCTGCTAAAGCATCTCTCATAAGCCACTGAAACAGTAGTTTTCTGTCCTCAGACTGCACCTATGTACAGAGACACACATCAAAAAGCATAATATTCCTGCGGTAAAGCCGAGATTGTTTTCTTCAGCAAGAAAACATTACCATGTGGTTATATAGCTTGCGTCCTTCCACAGTATGCTTTGTGAAATCAGTCCATTAGGTGGCTACAAAACTAGAAAAATTCAGACCCTTTGAGACTCGCTGCCTTTTCTACCTGCAGCATGTGTTGATATGTGATGTGAGCTCTCTATTCCATAGTTTTCCTGGCTGTTGAATAGCAAGGCTCAGTTGCTCGCTTCAAGGTTCTGCATAAGTAATGATGTAGAACATTTATTTTTTTAAAGGAATTTCCTGTGGTTTAATATTTGAATTTTTACTAGTTTTTGTTTTACACAGCGCTCCTTGCTTTTGTAGCTTGGATTTCATGAGAACCTTGAAAAAGAATTATAACCTTATTATTGCATCTTCTATAGTTGAAATATATTTCTTATATAAATCTCGATATATTTTATAGCCAAGGAACTATTTTGTCATACTTGTATTTTGTATGGATCCCATAAGACTTTCAGAAATAAGGAACGCAAATGGACATCTCACATCAAAACTTTCCAACTTTATGCACTTAAACAACAGACCAAATGCAGCAGCAAGCTGTCCCACGGTCTGATTCCCAAAACAGATGGCTCAAATGTTGCTTGTATAGCTAATCCGGTCACAGAAACTCTTTGGCAGAAGAACCACCTCGAATAAAACCCGCACTGTCTCTAGCTTTACCTGTGGTGGCAGTGCACACTCTTTTCTATTGCGTGGTATTTTTGGAGCCTGGTTTTCCACGATAATAAGGATTACACAGTCGCTGTGTCACTTCTTACTCTAATGACTCTTAAACATACCGGTCAAGTTCTACAACACTCCGTTTTGAGAGGCCTCCTGCATTCATGCAGGTTCCGTGTAAACAGGCAGCTGGGTGGAAGAGGGGAGGTGGGGAATGCCCCTGCCCCCTCCCATCCAAAGGAAAACCTCCAGCGCCCTTGGAATGACGTGCTTAGCGCTAGGGAGTCAAACAGAAGAGGGTGGGAAAAGAGGTGTCCAAAGGGCATTTAAAACAGCCTGCGGCAGGATCTCGGAACACAGGGCAAATTGCTTCTCCGGCGAGTCTCTCAGGAACGTCTCGTTTCACTGGGCGCAGAGGAAAACTGAAGCGGCGCACACCAACGTCTCAGATGAATGAAATGCTTCCCTTAACTCTGCAACTGTCGGCCTCTCCCCTTCTCCAACAATTAGGCAATATTTCCTAGAGGGTGTAACGTTTGCTGAAAGTATTTGCAGTGCCGCAGGTTGCGACACGGCCGCGCTCCCACTCCCGCTGTTCTCTGTGTGACCAGAGAGATTAGGCTGGGTGGGTTGGCCATGAGAGGTAATCCAGGAAGGTTGAAGGTAAGGCAAGGACAGGACCCTGACTGGCTCTGCGTGAGCACTGGAGCTGATCAGAGGCGTTGTGCACGAACAGGAAAATACAGAGAACGTTCTTGAAGGTCGCTGTGACCGCGAGGGAGGAGTGCCAGAGCGTTCACACTGGCTTGGCATGTCCACAGCGGAGGATGCAGGGCCAACCCAGAGAGAGCCTGAATCGGAGCCAAATTCCAACCTCCATCAACTTTTCTCATCCCTTTTGGGTGGAGGGGCTGGGGGAGTTGCCACATAAGAAAACACGGGTTTACCGCTGGGTTTTCATCCCTCCTCCCTTGCAGTTCTAATTGCGAGGAGCTGCCGGCGTTCCCTGGAAGGGGATTTCAGCATCTCAGCTGCTGCTGGCAGAGGTGGCAGAAGTAGGACAATGACTGAACTCTTGTGTCTGCAGCTGGAAGCATGAAAGCCTGGCAGTAAATGCAGACCTTTCCAAACTTTATCTTCTGATATTAACCCCGGTGATGACCTACTCTTCGTGCATATCCAGCTGAGGTCACCAAAAAAACCCCCGCCTTATTTTTTGCTCCTGCATCTGAAGGACAGAAAAATCTAGAGAGAGAGAGAGGCATTTAGGACTCCATAAATGAGCTTTTCTATCTTTACATTTTTGGCTGAGGCTCCATAAGTGTCAAAATCCTTTATTATTGCAAGTGTGGTAGTACACAGCAGCTGCCTGAAAAAATCAAGGTCCCATTGTTTCAGCCAGTTTTCACTGCACTCAGAGAATTAATGGTCTAATAAAAACAAAAATGTGCGGGAGGAGAGGCTCCTATAGAAACAGTGATTTGTCAAAGTCATAAAATGGTTCCTTTAGTCATAAAACTGGCAACGGATGCACTCCATTTGGCTAGAACTTCGTTTTAGCCAAAACCATTGAGTTGTTTCTTTTCCATACTTATCCCAGCATCCTCAGACTCCCTGAAACACATGTATGACCTTATGAGGTTTGGGATGCAGAGGGGAATGCAGGGCTCTCTCTTCTCCTCTATTTTTTCCTTTCTTTTCCATTCCTTTACACCAGATTAATCTCTGGGTTATTATAGGCTCAGCCCACCAGTAGCTGCATCTTAGTGACACAGTAAAACTATTCAAGGGATTCAATAACCAATTACAGGGGGTCTTCCAAGAGAAATCTCTCTATTTGGCAGTTATCTCACACTATTATGAGCTTGTTCCCCCTTTTTAAAATACGTTTGAATTTATGTCATTTTGCATCAGTGTGAGCTGTGTTTTGACAGTGTTGCCACTGTCTTTTTTAATGGCTCTAGGTGAGTTTGCAGGTGTGCTTTTGATCACATCTGGCCTGCCATTTTCACAGGAATATCGTGCTCCTTCCTCCTCAGCATGCTCTCGGGTGCTCTCTGAGCTCACAGGCTGGATTCTGTGTGGACGGAGCTGAACCAGGGAAGGCACCCAACCCTGTCCCACCGATAATGGATGGCACCGGAGATCTGGTGTCCACAGCACACACGTTACAGTACGTTACGCACTCCCTCTGCCTACAGATCCACTTCTATCGCACGGGTACACTTGCTGGTGCAGCAACCTTGGCTCTCGAGGGCCTCCGCAGCCGGTGCCTTTGGCTCTGCAGAACTTTGCAGAAGGATTCGCCTCTGTTCACTAAAGAAACAGAAGGACTTATGAGGACTTAGGACACTAATTCTGCCCTGTTACCAGTCTTGATTTGATTTAGCCTTGGCAAATTTGGCAGCGCACGCTGCACCGGACCAACACCAGTACTCAGCATTAATGAAGTCCAACAAAGTACCGAGCTGTGCAAACTCTACCACAGAAAGGAAAACTACACTGTAGACAAAGTATATATTTTCATGTCTTTGACCTGTTGTGCTATTGGCGATTGTGCACTGGAGAGAATGAAATCAGACTTGCTGGCTTGCTACCGGAGCAGTGCAAGTGGCAGGAGAAGGGTGTCTCCCGCAGAGGTGAAGCCTGACCTTTAGAAGGCTTGAGGAAAGCCACAGAAGAGTAAGCAAAAACGTGCCAGCCAGCAGACGGTCAGAGAACTGAACTGGTTTTCCTATTTTTCTGTTGTGCAGTTCTACTCTGATACACCCACCGGTTTGCTCAGCAGCCCTCCTGTAACACTGCCACTGGAGAGCTTCGTCGAAAAGCACACACACACTTGTAGAAATCCCTTTGCATTTTCAACAGCTTGCACGATTACCAGCGGTAGCCAGGCAGCCGTTGCTAGGGGATCAGCCTGTGTTTATGGCACTGAAGGTTTTCCGACCCTCCCAGACAGGCACAGCGAATCCCCAGGTATGCAAAGCAGAAGCAGGCTGGCTTTTCTGAGCCACACTTGCTGTTGCGAACCCACCATTCTTCAGTCAATGAAATAAGGCAGTCTGTACTCTTCCGGAGCGCAAATCCGCTCCATCACAGGATGGTTTGTTTCTTTAGAAGCTGTTCTAGAAGAAGGCCTGGCTAGAAGTCAACTCAAGTTCTCTGAAGTGAAGGCAGGGCAGAGAACAGTTAAGGCTCTGCTAAAGTATTTAGAGACTGACGCGCAAACGTTAGAATTTCCATTACTTGGTGTTAGCTTAAGATATGGTTTTAGCCCCTGAAAGAAGGGGCTAAAAGGCAAGAAGTTGTGGTTGTACAGAATGCCTCTCTCATCTCCGGGGAGATACAGTACAGAGTGATTTTTCAGTAAGATGCTGAACCCATTTTGTGTCATCTAACAACAGCAGTGCCAACTTACAAGCTAAACGAGCATTTGCATCTCTATTATGGTATTTGGAGTGAATGTTCCAGGCCCTTACTCCAAACATGACTTGACAAATCCTCAGAGCCTCCTCTCTGAGATCTCATCAGATCACCAAAACTGAGCAACCTGCTGCCATCAGACACATTTTAGTAAAAACACCAAACTGTTTTGTTGAGTTGTTGCAGCACAACTAGGTATTACCGTTCCAGTTAAACAAGATGATGCCTAAAACGTTGTTCTTTGATATAAAAGGCTTTGCATAAATTCTGGATACAGCAGCACCATCTCTTTATCATCATCACTGTATGTATTAGTACCTGTCACTAAGAAGGTGCTTTAGAGACATACATCATTAAACAGACATAAGGAGGAGGCTTTTCACTTACTGCAGACTTTTCTTTCTACTGTTTTAAAATCCTTTTACTTATCCAGGAGAGTGTGTGAAATAACTTCCATACAACTTGGTACGTGGATGCAAAGGCGCACACAAGTTGTGAGGCCATGGGGTGTGCTAGTTCCTCACAAGCAGTTGTTGGCTCAGTTCAATACCTTCAGCCTCACAGGGAATTGATGTTGTAAGAGCTCAACAACATGAGAAGAGAAACTTGAGAGAAGCATTTATCCTAAAATGAAACTACAGGAAGAAGCTGGGATAAGAAACAAGCAAATAGTAGAATGCCAGCAGAACAGAAGAGCTGGTTTTGGCTGAGAGGAAGATTTCTGCTTTTGAGTTTGACACCACAGAAGGGACAACTGAAAGAGGAGCGTAAAACTCAGTATCTCCTCAGCAATGGTGAGGATTTGTTTGTTTGTGTTTTTCAATGACATGTTTGAGCCTTACTCCTTTTCTGACCTGTGCATTCTGAGTGCAGGAGGAAGTGCTGCAAGACTCCTTACCGCAGCTGGATTAGAAAACGCAAACCCACCTGAACGTGAAACACCACTTACCAGTCCTCTTCCCTACTCAGCATGTTCCCTCTGTATCTACAGCTCCACCCAGAGCAGCCTTTGCTCCATGCACTGTGCCGGACTCAGGACCCTAACCCAAGCTTAACAAATCCCCACTTTACAAACTCTTGTCAGTTCTTCCCCTGCCAGGATGCCTCCCAGTCTGAGGGTGAGAGTGTTGTTAGAGGAACAGCTTCTTCTTCCCTGCCACTCTTCAGGGGATCTTGGAGCTTCATCCTGCTGTCTGGCAAAAGCCCTCTGCCAGACTCTTTTGGGTAGCAGCTGCTGTGTGTTATGCCAACCCCCACTCCTCACCTTCCAGTGGAGTCTGAAAGAACCCTTTTTCCTCTAATTCCCCTTGTGACTTTGCCAGACTGAGGTTTAGAGAAAGGCAGGTGCCCTGAGGTTCCACCACACCTGCCTTTCTCTAAACTTCAGATTTTATTGAGACAGCTTCTTTTTCTTTAAGATGTCATGTCATGGGAAACTGCAGGGGTCTTCAGCTTCCAACTGAAAATAAAACTCCATCTAAACAAATGGAGCTGAACAGTCAGTCTTTGACTGTACTACAAAATGAGAACTCCAGTTCTACCCAGGTGCAATTACGCAATTACTACTCACACTTGCAGATAGGGGAACCGGCACTGTAACGCTTTGCGACTCGGCCACAAACACCATGAATCAGTGACATTGACGTGCTTGTCCACCTTGCACACCCACTCCAAGAAATGACTGTGGGGGAGGACAGTCTGTAATAGGAGATATATATAGATACATAGATATCTAATATATCTAACTGTAGACTCAGTAGCTCAGTATTATAGTTTAGCTTATTGTATTATATCTTCCTACATAAGAATCCTTACAGTAACTAGCACTTTTGCATTGGTCCTACTTATGGGCTTTAAAGTACACAGTATGCATGCTCCATTTCTTTGGTGTCCTTAGACTATTTTGCTTTTGCTTTTAAGTAAAAGTAGCAAATATGTATCTCCTTCTCTAATTCTAGCTGTTTCAGTTGCCCTATGCTTTCTACGGTAAGCATCCTTCCTACAAAATAGTTGAGCCTTGACTCAGAACAAGTCCTTTTTTACAACTGACTATTCCAAGCATGAAACTTGCTAAAAATATTCTGTCTAACCTGTCCAGCAATTATCCAGGATTATGGCTTCTGTCTCCAGATAGAATATCTCATTTGTTGTTTTCATCTGTATTACAAAACCAAAAAATGGTTCTCAGCTTTCAAGCTTCCTGAAAAAAAGCCTGCCTTTTATCCCAAGGCTGACCAACCAGAGCCTGAAGATGCCGTAGACAAGGAATACCAGATGTATCTGAAAGCAGCTCTTGGACATTGCTCCCCCACGGGCAGCAGACTTAGGGAAAGTACACAGTTACTTACAGCAAATTTACAAGGCAACTCAAGACCTACGTTGAGTACTATCAAGGGGGAGGAAATAGAAAAAGCACAAAGATTAGATACAAAAGCATTCAGATCCCCAGCACAGTCACCAACAAGCTTATCACTAGAGACCACCCATAAGAAGCTGTAGATAGAAAGTAGAGCCTATGTATTCCCAGCTAAACAACTATGTCAAAATAAAGGTTCTGAAGAAATGAAAAAAAACACAGAAGATGGTGAAAAATGGCATCTAGGATGAAGAGAGCAAAAGATGACAAAGAGAAAAATACATCTTACAGACTTTCCTGGATCACTCATGACTCTGGCAAAGTGGCTGACGATGATCGTTCCTTTTGCAGGTCAGGCCTTTGTGCTAACCAAGAGGAAAAAGAACACCAAACCCATGATGCAAGGAAGTAATCAACAATAGGATGGATCCTTATTAGCTGATGGAGGTGAATCTTGTGTCCTTGTTTTTAGCTGTTAATTGTGCCGAGTCCTATGACCAGGTTCTCAACTGATGCCAGTATCAAGGGAGTTATATCTTCTTATACTAGCCAAAGTGCTGGCCACCAACTTACAGCATCAATTACAGACATATTGCACGTAATTTACACCGTTTTCATTTAAACCCTGTGAAAATACAAGCCCATCCCTTTGCTTCTAAAATAATTCAAGACAGAAGTTATTGATACTGGCTGACAAATATCTAGTGAAATTAAAATATTTTATAGTAACGTTTTAAGTGTTTTGCTGAAAACACGAAGAAAAATACAAGCTATCCATTAGCAAGCAGCTCCTTTGAAAAGAAATCATTACTTTTTTATGGAGAGATAATTTGGCTGAAATACCACAAATCTTTCAGTGACAAAACTAACAGTATTATTTTTCTGATTTATTCATTGTTGAACTCTGCTCTGTGCATTAGCAGTAAAAATATTTTGATTTGTTTCAAATGAAAACATTTTTAATACAGAGGTAATCCTTAGGGCAATGCTTGTCTTTAGGAAGATGATTAGATCATTTAGCTTTCTTAACTGAAAATTTCAGCTAGATTTAAACTCTGCATTATAGAGATATCAGTCAACTATTATTCTGTTGAACCTTCATGTACATGGAAAAGGGAAAAAGGATGTTCTGTGTTCCAAGCTCTGCTTTTTTTTTTTTTCTTTTGGTAGCAAATGACACAAAGCAGACTGCATCTCCCTGACAGTGTGTTTATCTCCATGTGCACTGAAAGAGGAGCTGAGATTAGATGGGAGCTGCTTATACAGACACTGCCAACACAGTCCCAAATAAATTAATGAGCCGAACTAAAAATTGTCTCAAGCAATGCAACTTACTGGCTGCACCCAGTGTGAAGACAGTCTCTGTGTGGGCTCTCTTGAAGGGAATCATACTGTTTAATTTCATGCTGCTAGTTTATGTGACAAGTTAGAAGACTGTTTCCCCAAGGTCTCTCCCCTCCCTACCACAAGTACCTTTTGGCCAGAGAGAGTCCCTTTCACAGGGCAACGCAGAACTGAGTTCAGATGCACACACTCAGCCACTGAAATATCCACTCCTCTCTGCTGATCAGCTGTGCAAGCCAAGCCTGTCCTAAGAGCTCAAGTCCCAACACGCATCTAATCCCACCTCTGATAAACAAGAGAAAAGGGCCTTGCCTGAAATTTATGCAATCAGGCAATGGGAATAACCCCCGCGTCCATGTGCCTCCTTACCTCGTTAATACTAAGCCATGAAAGGATGCAAAACACACAAACAAATGAAGACTAAGGGGACTCAGGCTTAAATAGTACATGTCAAAAGAGTCAATGAAATGAAGGTTCATCTTTAATACTGGGAGATTTCATAATTAGACAGAAAATAAGATAAAAAGCTCCCACCCCCTGGGTCTCTGTATAAAGATTAGAGAGGGAGAGACAAGTACGTGTTCAGACTAATGGAAGAATACCTTACCAGCACTTCAAGCACTGCAGGATATTTCATGTGTCCATGTCTCGGGATAAATGGGACTGTTTAAAATTGGTTAATTTCTTAGCAATCCAGGCAAGGAGAGAGACAATAAAAGAGCCAAAAGCTCTAGCAGGAGGTATGAGTGAGCAATTAAGTGTTAAAAATAGATAAATAAGTATTTACGTTCCCAGATCAGAGTAACAGCAGCACTGTTACCGTGCTAAGGCAGAGGAGAGAGATCAGCCTCCCTTGTGGAAGATACCAGTAGCTGGAGGGGTGGTACCGCTTCGTGGTACAACCTTTTCATAAAATGCATCGGGTCTAGGAAACAGTTGAGCTGTACTACTTTTCTGCCCGTCTTTTGATTCGCCTGATGCGCGTAACACGTTAACGCTGTCTTTGAGCTACGTTCAAAGAGTTTGTTCAAAAAATGTGCCTGAGTTGCTAATGACAGCCTCTGCTGGAGGAAGCCAGAGCGTGTTGTGTTTTTGCCTGGTCTGGGCTGTGCTGGCACAATGTGACGGCAGCCAAGGAGCCGGGCACTGCTCTCCGCTGCAGCGTCCTCCCCACTGCGGCCGTCCCACCATCCTGCAACAAGCAAGCGGAGTCTCGGCTCCACAGCACCAGCAACAGGCAGCTTGAAATTCATCGTGGGAAAAGCGCATTTCAGCTGGTTCCAAGACATTGCCGAGGCAGTGTTCTCCATCACGGATGTTGTGCCCTGGCTTGTTTGAACTGGTTGTTTAGTATGGGTTTTTTGGTTTGTTTTGGTTTTAATTTAAGGAGGAAATTCAAGGCAGGAGTCCAGGGATCAGCACTGATAATGCTGCAGTTTGTTAACAATGTTAAGGCTTTTACTGTCAGAACCCTTTGGTGCCAAGTACTACATGAAGCAGAAATTTAAAGCAAGTCCCCCCTCAAAGAGTTTGAAATCTACTTCCTTTATTCCAAAGCAAACTGAACCAGGTGTGGGAGCCTGCTGGGAAACGCAATAACTGTGGGCACAGAGTCCTGGTGGACTGCACCTGTGTTCATAGGTGGAGTGCAACGAGGACATAAAACGAGAGCTTGTAAAATGAGAGATAACAATGCCCAATACCTTTACTCCACTTAAGTCAAAAGAGTTTTGTCGTTGAGATGGAAATTTCTACTCATGCGATCACAGGATGTACTGTAACAAATAGCAATAAAAGAACAGTCCAAAGTGTAGATAACTTCAGTCTTGTCAAATGCTTGCTTCCTGCTCTCTCCTTCCCTGCTACCACCTCATTCCAGTAGGAACAGAACTAGGACAGAGTGGACTTTTTCTTCTATTCACAGACTTTACTGTTCCCAAATATTTTGTGCATAGCCAAGCTGAAAAAAACCCCAAAGGCAGAGTTTCTCAGCCACTGGAAGTATTAAACCTATGTAAGTTTTTTGTAGGTCGGGAGCCAGTGATTTGGGTATCAATATCCCAAATGCTAGTTATAAGGAGTCAGGAACTCTTCTGGAAGCAAGTGCCAGACTCACGGTTCCTATGAGTTACCAGCCAAGAAGTCAGACCAAAACCAGCACCATCTTGCTAAGACCAAGCTAATGGATGATAAATCTAGCAATAATTTTGAGGCTGATGACATCATTACATCAGATGCCACTTCTGAAACTGTATGGTTTGCCCTTTTGAAGGTCTTTACCAGCAGCCATATTAAAATAAGATTTCCCATTACTGGCCATTCTTTCATTCATATGCAAATGTGGTTCAAGTTCCAATCTAATAATGTCCTTCATCTCATTTATGTTCTATAATGTCATTGTGTCAACCTGAAATATGGCTAAAACATGGGGATGCAGTCTCACTTTGCCTTGCAAAAGAAAGGCTTTTGCTATGTATTATACAGGGGAACCTCTTGACAGAGGAAGATCTGGAAGTGACGTTTTCAGTTTAGTTTATCATTCATAGAAGGCCAAAAAGTTCTTCACAACTGCTAAAGCTAGATACAAGCTCTGACATTATCCTCCACAAATAACCAAGCAGCACTTACTGGTTAGGGAGATCTCATTAACTTTGTACTGAAAAACACTTATCTCCTACAAATTCACCAGCTTTTGAGCCTTGGGATCTGCAAATAAGTAACAGAACCATTGCAAGCCTGAGATGGCTCATTACCAATTTGAAGCAGGGTGTTTCCCATTCCCACCCCTTCAGTCATTGTCACCACAGTTTACGTGTGCCATTCCACTTGGTGGCTGCCTGTCAGAGCTGTCACATCCTGGGCATGCCAAAATTCCTATAGGCTTTAACAGCTGAAAGAACATCTCTTTCAATGTATAGTGTATGGCTAATGCTTCTTAGGAGGCTTTTCTTGCCCTTCTCCCTTTGTACCTCTCCACACCTCTCTAGACCTTGCAGTCTTTCAGATTCTCCCAAAGCCACTCCCAGCTTTCCACCTGGATAGCTGGAACGATCTATGCCCAGCTTAGGGCAGAACCGAGACCCACCTATACAAGATATCTGAGAAAGTCCTGTGCAGCCGAGGTCTGCCAAGTAAGAGAATGCCATTTAGCATTGATAGGCTAGGGCTGGTTGGAATGTTCCCTTCTGCTACATATTTTATTGTATTTCCTGGTTTTGCCTTTAATATACCATGGTACCTGCTACCAGGTTAGATTAGCAGTAATTTCTGAATTGTTTTAAGACAATGCCCCTAGTGATGGCTATAAAACCGACTGAAGCGGTCCCTTACATTACAGTATTTTCTTTCATAGCAGCTGTCTTTCTAGATGTGGATTTTATGGAGAAGATCCCAGATCATCGGAAGTTTCTCAGTTTCCAATTTTGCAGCTACTTCTACCAATTCTGAAGTGAAGCTTGACAAAGCCAAGTCTAATAGGAATAGAACACAGGGTAAGGCACGCCCTCAAGAAAAACAGCCAGAAGAAGAGATACTGAAAGTACCAATTGGACCAGGACCATATTTTTGTATCAGTGGATCTAATGGAGCTGGGCTGTAAGTAGGTCCTCTCAGCAGACTCATATTAACAGTAGTATGACCATATATGAAGTCATGCAAAGTTATCCATTTTCCATCGGTCTCAAATAATTTTCCTTTTATTTGCTGTCTTTTTGGAGTGGTACACATGGGGAACTATTTAAAGATAACTCAAACAGAAACTATCCTCTGGAAGGCCACCTGTGGCAAAGTAGCTAACTACTACATCTTTGCAAAGAAACAAAATACTTCTATTTGTTTAATGAAAGTTTCTCTGTTAGGGCTATTCAGAAATCACTTAGCTACACCATGTAGCAAATCTGCTAGCATCATCACTAGAGCTAGGAACCACTGTTGTTGATCAACATTCCATTGTGCTAAATGTAAAACAAGCAAAAAATAAGAAGAGATTTCTGCCCAAGAAAAATTGTCAGATCAGAAGTTCCATTCATTCCTTTCTGAGTTCTTTACGGAATATTGGCATTCTTCTCTAGATGTTGTCACCAGCAAGAACCACAGAATCTCTGCTGCAAACAGCATTTTCCTTGCTGTGTTTCCGTAGTTCTGTCTACAAACAGCTTTTTCTATCGCTCCTTGTCATCTTTCCCCGAGCTCCTCAGCAGAGAGGTTCCTTATTAAGACTGGACCCTGACCATTCCTATTCCATGGGTACCAGTTGCATCCTGATCGGAAAAACCCTGCTGAAATGGTACAAGTTCTCATTAGAGCTGCTGAATCACCATGTTCTTCACATCCTCAGTTACTCCCTCCCCTCTCTCAAGTTCAGAGCAGCAGGTCCACTAGCAGCCATTCTAATTAACGCTGCCCACCTTATCCCCCACCCAGGGACCTCTGGGTGCGTTAGGTCAGGCTCCCAGAGAAAGTCATTAGGAGTTCAAGGGATATGAGTAAACTAAGTATTTGTTAAGAAAAGGGAGACTACTTTGCTGTTTTCTTTTCCATATGCAACGTGAGCATCCGTTGCCAGGGCAGAGGCTGGCAGCGTATCTATGACAACAGAAGGGAGGATTATGCTCTGAAATGGTGTGAAATCAAGCGCCGAGAGAGATCTATTGCCGCGTCAAAGAAGGCAGAGGTGCCTGTGGGCCTCAGGTGGGAGAGGGCAGTGGGAAAAACCTGAGGATGCTGGACTTGTGACTCCCAGGGCAGGGGAGGTCACCTGGGAGTAGGAGGAACAGGTAACCTCAACTTCTTGGCAGACCTCCGAGGGGACATCAGAGCTGGATTGCTATGGTGATTAAAGAAAGGGTTTTGGACAAGAAAACAGCTTTGGGAGAAAAGGTACCGTTGAACTAAATGTAGCGAGATGAGCAGTCCAGAGATTTAGACACAAAGCATGGCAATCATTTTTGAAATGCGGCACTCCCCCTCTGGGTCTGAGCGCAGGCGGCCGGAGGACGGACGCGGGAGCAGCACGCGGCCTGCTCTGGCACCATCTAGGCCTCGCAGACGGAGGGTGCCTCACGTTCAGGGACCCTCGCCGCAGCTGAGGTGGGGAGAGGAGAAAAGGACAGAAAGGTGCACCTGAAGACAGAAGTGAAGGAAGCTCAAGAGGGGTCACCCCACACATCGCAGGCCCAGCTGTCTCTGTCTAGGGAGAATAGAGTCGCTAAAAGCCAGACGACCCCGCTGTGTGAGCAAGCGCCCTTTTGAATTGCGCTCTGCCCTTTGCCTCATCAGGGCACCCTGACTTGGCAGGGCCCCGCAGCGGTGCCTCTGGCTGGCTCCCTCAGAGCGGTACTTCGCAGAACACACACGTCTCCCCAAGCACAGCCCCAGGGGTGATTCTCTTACTTCTGGGAGTGGGTCAGACCCGTGTCCTGGCAAGCCTGCGCATCAGGGCACAGAGCTGCGGGCTGTCCTGTGGCAGAGGGGGGGTGTTACCGCTTCCCCACCAGCCCGCACACAGCACCCACCTTTCCCCTCGCCAGCCCCGATGGCGACGCGGTGGCCGTTTGCGGCCAGACAGCGGCTGGCCCAACGCACAGCGGTGCAGATACGTTTCAACGCAATTCTGCAGCTGGAATGGTGCGACAGCAGTAACACCTTTGGAGTGGTCAAGGGACGTGCTATTTCATGAAGTCCCATCAGGTCGATCTGTTCTGCTGCAAGGTTGGACAGAAACACATTACAGCAAGTGATTTCACTGCTCCGTGAGTTGTCACTACTGCCCTCAAGCAAATAGGTGAAAGTCAACGGTGAAAAAGCTTCATCCTGCAGATTCTGCTGCATGGGACAATGAGGGCAAGCTTTTTTTTCTCTCTCATAAAGATGAACATCTTCTCTATCAGATTCCTGAGAGCAGAGCCCTCACCAGTAAGACAGGACTTCTATGTTGCCTGAGAGAGCAAAAGCAGATGATGAGAAAGATCAGTAGGAGCTCTAATTCCAAGTAAGAACTCTCACCTCTTTGAACCTTAACCAGAAACATGCCAACAGAAAGTGAGAGCACATAAATAAAGGACCAGTTTCTTCTCGATGCATAACAGTACAGGACACAAAGTATATGGAGTTTTACTTCTTTCTTATCTTCTAGAAAAATCACTTTTTTCCCAGAAGTACATATGTCAGAGACAGAACTTCTTTTTCTATGCCTGGAGTTGTAGGAGTGCCACGTCCTCCAAAGACAACAGTCATTGTAATTCCCCTGTTTTGTGTACATCGTTCTACGGGAAAGGCCACAACTTCTTGTGCCATAGACACTGTAAATATGAGAGAAGCTTCTTCTCATTTCTGCTCCTTCCTTAAGCTATTTCTTAAGTTTTTACTTGCAACCATCCTTTCTGAAAGTAACAGAGAAATGAATGTTCTGGATAGAGTTTTCAACTTGTATTTGATTCTACCATAGGTTACTGAAGATGGAAGAATTCTTCCCAGAAGCTTTTCTCCTGGACTTCAAAGATGATATAAATGCCTTTGCTGAGCTTTGCAAAGGTGAATTGTCTTAATCATGGTGGCAACCAATTTAAATAGCTCTGTGATCCTCTAAAATGTTCATGAAAGCATACACAGTAATAACAATGGACATCTATATGCATGTGTATGTATATACATACACACACATTCAGGTGAGCAGTTCTCAGAGCCCCCTAATGGGCACATCGGTGTTGCATACCACACACATTACTACAATAGACTCATTCTCTCTGCAGAAGAACAGATTTGGATCTGCAAACCAAGTTGGTCTAACCAAGGTCAAGGAATTTTCCTGCTTAAAAATCCAGCTGCTGTCAACACCCTCCAAGCCAAGCTCCACAGCACTGAGGAATACCTATTCAATAAGAAAGTGCCACACCACGACCCTCAGGCAAGAATAGTGCAAAGGTAGAGACCAAAGCCTGGGAATTCCTGCGTGAGTAGTGTGCTTGATTAAGCACACGGGCCCCAGAGAGTTGAATTGTTCCATAGGTATTCAATGTGGTTACACCACATCTCATCAACCTATGAGATTCCATTTTGTGGGAGAGAGGCTATTTCTCTGGTTAGTCTGTCTTGCATCTGCACTTCGGTCATTTTAACGTAGATCTTTGTCATCAGAAAGATTTGAATATACCTTTGTCTGGAAATTTAAGAATGACTTCAAAATGCCAGATGCTACAGTTCTGTACATGAATGCTATACATAAAGCCTTGTGCAAAGCAATTTAAATTGGATATTATCCCAGCTTCTTATACAAAGCTAGCATTTTACAAATTGTACAGCTACAATATCTGTTCCATGCAATCGAATAAAGCCTCACAAATATGTTCTTAACCCTGCCTCAATGCTGCAAAAGTCTATACCTCAATCAACAGGCAGTGGCTAGTAGTCACTAAAACTTTGGGTTAGGGTTGTTTTATTCTGTATTCCTTCCATGAACAAAAGTACCATGAAGGTTCTTCTTTATAGAATATACACCCCTTCAGCCACTGCTAGAATGTTTTGTAGAGTAACAGAACAGCAGAAAAAAAGAGAGGAAAAATAAGGCAGCAGAAATCATGAGAACAGTTGCAGCTACTGAACTTTACTTGCTCACTCTTACACAACTCACTTCACCTCTGTGTCCTTCCCTCAATTGAGGAATGCATTATAATTAAATCATTTCAGTGCTTTGAGATGAGTGAATAAAACTTTCAAAGAGAAATGCAAAACAGATGTTTTCATTATTTATCCTAGGAGCTGCAGTTCCCAGATGCCTTTGATGCTGCCTTTGGTGTACACAGCTAGGCATACAGAGCACTCTCAACTTCAAGGTGCCCGTATATGCATGTCATTGCCTGGCATTGGCATGACATGCCAGCAAGGACAGTGTGATACACTCGTGACGACACTGTAGTATTGGCATGGCAAAAGCACATGTAGTGATCGCTGCATGTCCTGGCAAAGCGATGATACCAGCTCCTCACGCTGACCCTTGTGCCATTCCCCTGACATTCTGCTATTGTGGCTTGGCATCTCTATCTTGCAAGAGAAAACACTGCACAGCAACCTTTTCCAAAGCTGCCCTAGTCAAAGCAAGCAATATTCTCTGCTTACATTCATCCAAACACTTCTTTTCATAACAAAGGAATGGTTGGCCTCATTGAAAAGGGTAAGAGAGATTTTTAAAATGGTAAACTGGAAAGATGACCTTACAGGCTTTCTGCAATAGGCTGGACCAGGTTTATGCAGCGGACAGTATATGGAGCAAAACGACGACTGCCTGACAAAACCAGACCAAGGGCGTTAGTTAGACCAATATGTGGTCTTTGACATGGACAAGCAGCAGTGCCAGGGGAAGAAGAGGTTGGACCCTCTTTTAGATCTCATCTATCGGTGAGGAATAGCTTATGGTCTGAAGAATGAGGCTTCATATTCCTTTGAAAACTGTTGTTGCCATCGATTGCTTTAACAGTACATCCTTGTTATTTATGTAGACATCCAGCAACCTTTGATGATAAAGGGAAACAATTCCCAGGTTACATGACTCTAGCAATAAAAGCAATGGTGCTGTATGAAGGGCTCTTTGTGTTCAGACATAAACTTTGTATATTCTCCAGTAAAAGTTAGTAAATCTTTAATTACCTCCTGCTCCCTCCTTGTGGAAGGAGCGGTTGGCATTCCTCTCCCACGAGCGCCCTCCGCTGCCGCAGAGCCACCGTGGGGAAGGGCCAAACGGGTCAGTTCTGTGGTGTGAAACGAACTGCCTGGGGGTTCGTGGAGCTCTGAATTGCCATGTGTTATGGCTGCTGGTTGGTGACGTGTGTTGAAGCACTGCTCTGACGGGTATATTTACCAGCCGCTGCTCCTGGAAGGGAAGAAGTTTGATGTCCAGTCTTACCTCCTCATTGCCTGCACAGCAGCATACGTGTTACTTTTTGCCCAGGGTTATGTCCAGTTGACCGCTGACAATTATGATGCTGCTTCTGATGGTCTGACTGTTCATCTGACCGATTAGGTAAACTAAGGCCAAGTAGTTCAGAAGAAGGGGAGGGTGTGCTTGACAGAGACAGTTTTGAAAGGCTAAAAATAAGTGCCTTGTGTGCAAAATCCATGCACCCACCCAGGAAATGGACGTGGGCTTTTGGTCAGGCATGGCAACAAGGCTGAAGAGAAGCAGTACCAGATCAGGTTCTGTTCCCTGCCATGGACCAGCTCTCTGCTTAACCTGACAGTTTCTTTCCGTGGACCTCTTTTTCCTGCCGTTGTTCTCTCATGTAACTGTAGACCATAAGGTTCTTAGGGCAAGCGCCTTTGATTGCAGCTAACTAGCACAAAGGAGCCTTAATCTTGGCTAAGGATTTTGATGATCCTGTTATGCTTAAACACAATAATCATAATGATGTAAGATGTAGATGTGTTCTTCAAGAGCCCCCATTCTTAAATCTCCATCTTTACTTCTCAAATGAGAGCTATAACAGAACAAGACGGTTCTGACTTGTATGCCCATACATCTCTTGTTATACAAAATAGAAGCCTGCTTTGCTCAGATCTACTTGTGGTTTTGCTTCAAACGAGGCCCTTCAGTAGTTAGAACTGGCTCTGATGAAAGACAATTAAAAGAATTGGAAGAAAGAAAACAGTTTGCTTTTAAAGCCCTTCTCCCAATGTCATGCTGTGTTCTGAGAACTAGCGAAATACACAGTAGAGAGGTATCAGACAAGCCTACTTCGGCTGGAGTTTTACCGTTCCTGTAGAAGTGCAGTTCAGTACAGCAGATTACAGCTGCTTCCTGCAATATATGCTATTATCAGTATGCCGCTTGTTTTCCTGGAATAGTTTGTTTGCTCAGCTAGAGAGCTATCCACATGGGAATTCAGGTGCTCGGGTAGGATCCCATGGCACGAGTGATATTAAACAAAGGACAGGTGTTTATTAGCAGAACATAAATTATCTGGGTTCCTGCTGGGAGGAGGGGAACAAAATTTACAGGAGCAGCTGGTAACAGGCCAGACTTCTTCAAATTACAGTTGATTCTGCTCTCATTCCCTTCCTACCCTTTCATCCCACCTGGAATCAGCCATTTTCCTACTGTATTTCCAGAAGACAAGAGGCAGCAGAGACCGCATCACTAACCAGAAGCTTTGCAACTTCTCAGCAACTGTCCCACAGATGGAGTTGCAGCGAAGGCCCGCTGTTCCACAGGGAAAGGGGACTTGCCTTCGGCTGAACAATGTAAATACCCCATTATCGATAAACTCCAGCTGACACAGGAATTAACGACACGGTGGAAGAGAGAAGCTCTCCCCTTGGTTTTCTCTGGGAATACATCCATACATCTCTCCCAGATGCACTCTCCTCTAGGAGAGCACTAGGCAGGTAGACACTGGACCTGTGTCTATCATACGTACACACAGAGAAAGAGAGAAAGCACCGCTTTGACAGAATGCTTGGGCAACTGTCTCTACAATGTCCCCGTGGGTCAGGCACGTTTCTGCCCGTGGCAGTGATGTACAAAGGGAGTCAGCACATTTGCTCAGGTTTAGCTCTGCTAGCGAGGGGCTCTATTCCCTCCACCTCTATAAGTTGATCCGGGGGTTCTTCCCAACTCTAGATGCCTGGAACAACTCAGGGTAGTTGGATGTCTGCCATGCAAACCGGTTCACAGTTACTCTTCACGGCCAGAAATCTAATCCTCCCTTTGCTCTGTTTCCCCACCTCTCAGTACATGCAGAAGGACTCCCTGTACAGCCCACTGAAAGATGAGACAGTTTGGTGGATGGAGCACTTCAACAGCTACGTTAATGAGAAGTTCAGAAAAACCAATGGCCTCCCCAAAGACTGGGTTTTCACTGTGTTTACTACTGTAAGTGCAAGCAAGTGTATGGTGTGCTAGTCTGCCTAATTAGGGTGACAGAAATAGGGAGAAAACCCATCAGTTCACTGGAGCCCCCAAGGAAACACATACACTGAGTGAGAAGGTATTGATGGTCCCATGGTAACCATTTAGCTGCAGATGCTAAACGCAGAGTGAAGATATAAAGAGTTTAATTTTAATAAAATGGGTAAACTGCTGAGAAAGAGAGTGTGACTGTCTAATGATGCATCACTTCTCTACATGACTTGCTGGACTGAAAATGGAAAGGGCGGAGGGCTGGAATTAACAGCTCAGGAGGGGGGAAAAAGTACTTACTGCAGGTGAAACTGTTCTGTGCAGGATTTTCACAGGGAAGTAGAGTTCATAGTGAAAAGTATGGGAATTTTAATGACCACTCATTCTTTTCTTTCTCCAGAAACCAAACATTCCAGACTATCAGCCAGCATAAATCAGTATGTAATGCTTCTAACGTCACATGTATAGTGATTTACACTAGCTGAGTATCCATCAAAGGCAATGAAGAACTCACCCTCACCATTCCGAAGAATCAGTCATTATCGATTCAGATGTCAGCGTCAGCATCTCCATGTTCACTGTAGGTTCACCATTTAGCAATAGGTCAGCCCCCTGAGTCTATAAAATCTGCTAGAATTACAACTCAAACTTGTAAAGAGTGAATGAAACACAGAGAAGAAAAGCCAGAAGAAAGGGAAAGGGAAATGTTAAATACAGTGATGGAGGTGCTTTCAATGCAGCACAGTCCTTCAAAACCACCTGGCCTAAACGTAACAGAAAGCCATCTGGCAGAATCGGCTGTTGCTAAAGCAGAAAGGAACTCAAACATATTCCAGCAAAGGGCAGTGGGAACAGCAAACCCTGGGAAAGAATGGAATTAATGTATGCAGCAGTGGGTAAGGCACCCGAACAATAGACTCCTTTGTACAGGAAGTCAATGGCAAAGGAGAGTAAATGGCAAGGACATAGAGACTGGTGCTTCTCAAATTTCAGTGGGAATTGTCTTTTGCAATGCTGGCACGCAAAGCCCTGGCTGTGTAAACTTTAAGTAGAATAGAAGATCCAGTATCATTCAATAGTGGCAATTCCTCCTTGGTTAGTTAAAAACTTCAGCGTTTAAAGACCATTACGTCCCTGTGCATTTTACATATGGAGAGATAAACAAAATCTGTTTCTTGACACGTATTAGCTATAAAAATTCTGAGGATTTCTGGACACTTAGTGGTGACAGAACCTGGAACTTCCCTTTGAGAGACAGTAATGAGGAAATTTAGGCATTTATTTAGCATAGGTTTGTCCATGTTTTCTTGCCCCTGCTGGGGAGCAACAAACCTCCTTTTTTATTGGCGCGCTGCTGCGTCAAGGGACACCCGTACGCTTCCTGTAAGGCAGCGTACAACAGCTGGGTGCAGGACCGACAGCTTCAACCCACAGTTAACATTGGTTGGTGCAGCAAACTCCCAACTTTCTGTGAGCTGACATTACAATTCCCGGTCTGACATCCTCTCCACGTGGAATATGCAACAGCCTTATCCTCCCTGTCATCCTATTTCATGACGTGTAAAATCTGCCTTATGCTTATATGTTCAGTCCTATAGCTCATCATGTCCCTCCCTCTTCCTTATTTGTCTGAGATATAAATGCCCCCAGCATCATTCCTAATAATTCTTGAAGGCCCTGCAGCATCCTGATTCAGTCTTTGGGAGGTATTTTTCCTGCCTCAGAGTTCTTAGAAGCACAGACTATGAAAGCAGGGCCTGCTGAGAAACCACAGCTTTCTGCAGAGCTTTGCATATTCATAGGTAAGCTGAGAAAAAAAATGAAGTACTTTAAGAGGAGAGGGAGCGAAAGTGACAGATGTGGTTTTGCCGCTGTTAGGTTTTTCCCACTGTTTCCTGGGGGTTCCTTGTGCTGCATTGTAAATGCCCAAGTCACTACACAGCTTAGGACAGTGTCATTTAAATGCTGAAGGAACCTGTCTTCAGAAAGCACTGCATATCAGCTGTGCAAAAGGGCTTCTCTTCAGAGCTATGCTGGGAAGACAGATGCGTAAATTTTTTATCAGCCATAAAGAGATTCAGCTAGCTATCAGTAGAGAACAGACTGAACAGAGATAAGCCATTTGCCAATTTGTGATAGATGTACATAAATGAAGATAACACTCAAATCCCTAGTTAAAGCAGGGACGGTTCCTTTGATTTGAATGATATCGTTTTTCATTCACCCCGGGAGTATGAGGTACCACATGGATACTGTAGGCTTGGTTGTGCCCACCACAGGTCACGATGATAAAAGAAATCTGAAAAAAGCTTCTTAAGACTGCAGAAAACAGAATGCCACTGCCTTAGCCTGTGGTCTCCACTATCACTAAGTGGGTCCCTTCCTGGGTCAGCAACATCTGAGTAGCCCTTCCAGTGGCTGGTTTGTGACTGTGCATATGGCTTCAGCTATGTCCACACAGGACACAGATCAAGTTATTTTATTCCTATTTCTGACTGGTATTTCAGTGCTACTTAAAGCCCCAGCCAGAGGTCAGGCTCCCTGAACACCTGCAGCTACACAAATGCAGAACAAGGCAGCCCTGCTGTGGATGGCTTTAGGCTTCGAAGCATGTTACAGCCATGCTCTCTAAGAACAAGTTCTGATGTACAGAGATTTATACACTCCTATTCAGTCTTGGCTACCACGTCACTTGGAGTCTCTGGGAGCATGGACTGATGCCCTCTCCCTCCCTGAGACCCCAGCACATTGTTTAGCTTCCACTTCGTGAGCTCCAGCAAAGGCCCACACAATTAAATAAACTAAATGTTTTTCATCAGAAACAGAACAAAACTTTGGCTTAATCATGCATTTCCTGTACACCAAGAAGTCTTACCTCTGCCCACGTTGGCAGGGAAAGGACCCTTGAGACAGGTCTTATGCTGTCTGTTAGCCACCATGTCAACAGGTGACAGAGCCTGGTCTCATCACCCAATGCTCCTTTGAAAGACACTGAATTGATGCCGCAAGGATGGTTCTACAGCAATGAGACTACAGTAGTAATCAAACTAGATGCAAATAAAAAGTATGCAGGACATGCTAATACCACGTCTAGCACTATACAAAAAATAAGAAACGAGACCTCAGATCCTGGTGTAACGCAGGATCTGGCTGCAGTTGGCATGTTGTTCAAGAACTTATAGACAAATCCTACTATGTAAAGTTTTTAAGCCTACCTGTGCTGTATTGACAGAGTACGTTTAAGATGTGACAGAACATGGAGTTGTACCAGCCGGCTGCAGGGAGCAGTAACCTCGTCATCCCCAAGAAACATCCAGCGCAGCACTTCTGACCTAAGCCACAGAGCACTCATCACTGTTCTCATCACTTGAAAAACCTAAAGAAAAAGGACAGTCCGTGGTTAGGAAGTTGAGGACAGACATTCTGAGTTCTGGTTTCCTCTCTTTATCATGTTTGCTAGGAAATTTTGAGCAAGACTTGTGCAAGCCAGATGCAGGGAGAAACACAGGGATTTCATTCTACATGAAATTCCCATTGAAGTTACAGATATTCACATAGATATGGTGAATCTTGGCCTTACTCTCTCTGCTCTTCCTGAAATAGAGCAAAGGGCATTTATTAACTTGCCTTGGTTGTTGAGAGGTTAAAAGCATTTAAAAACTGTGCAATATTCAGGTAGTACAATAATGGGGGATGTAGAGGATGAACAGCATGATAGAAGTCACAGAGAACTTTCTTCCTCCTGTTTGTCAGTTTTATTTCTTTTGAAGGAGAAGAAACTAAAACCTAATCAAAACAATTATGAAGGTTCATTGAGTTTGTTTGTCAGCACAAAATCTTAGGAACTTTTAATAGGAAAAAGACCACTTACTCAGGAGTTTGCCAAGAAAAATGTATGTAACTTAGCTGCCCTCTGTTGGCTTCTGCAAAACAGGTTTTTTTGAGCAGCTCTTCCAGTTCTCTGGGAAAAAAAGACATTTCACTGCCCTCGCTTAACCAGTCTTTTCATTTATTTAATAAACTATTTCAAAGAAGTGAAAATTATTGTTGTATTTTATTCTCAGTAAAATAAAGTACCAAAGTGAAAGCTATCGTGTTGCCAAAATCTACCAAACAAACTTCATTTCACAGGTACTTGCAAGCAAAATCATTGCTGCTTCAGAAAAAAAAAAAAATTAAAATAATTTTTTAAAATCAATTAAAAGGGAGTAAAATTCTCCTGGGGCTCTTACATAATTAAATATCCTTCCTTACAAAATGCCAAGTAGTTCCTACATGTGCTGTATACAAGATGCAGCACCATATGGCGGAGGCAGGAAGTGAACAGATGAGTTTCTCTCACTATAGGGAAAAGAAATAGTAAACAGAATTACATGCAAGTCGATTGTTTGGTTTCACACAGACTTGTAACTGGACCATCACATTCTGTGGCTTGTAGTTTCAGACCTTGGCAGTTGAAAGGGAAGTGGAGATGAGACTAGTATAGATATGTAAAACTAGCATCCTTCACGGCTTCTGCCTGAAACAAAAACTTACCCAGGAAATCAAGGCCAAGAGTTCATTGAAAACTCAATACCATGTTTGCTTAGTTTTGATCCCATGTCCGCCTCAAAGCAAAATGATTCCTAGATTCCCTATAACTTTATTTTATGATATCTAAAAAACTCAACTAGAAACTGTTATGGAAACTGGTACGTTAAGAAACACAGTGCCTTTACACACCTACAGAGCAAGAGTTAATCTAAAGAGCATCAGCTGAACGCACGAAGTAATGTGTAGCGTTGCTCTCAAGTAAGTCAATGTATGCAGAACGGGATTTTAATCATCCAGTGCTTAAATGCCAGCGTACAGCACTGTACTTCACAAATACAGCTGGCACCTTTTACATGAACTATACAAAGACTGAAAAAATCCTTATGTAGTCTAATACACATTAACTAGAACTGGTCCTGCCTGGCAGACCAAAATCTCTTTCACGCCTGATTTTCTCTGGTATCACTGTATGTGTAGGAAGACGTAGTAAGGCGAGAGTCCATGACTGCGTGAAAGGTATTAGCAGTAGCCTGCGTATGCTTACTTGCATGTGTATGTTTACATCGGGGTGTATTCACACCCTAAAATGTTTCCAGTGGAGCTGAGGCTGGCTGAAGTGAATGCAAGGAAAGTGTGGTGTGGTGTTGTGTTGTTTGTTGGGGTTTTTTTTACCAAATTGTCTTAACAGTAATAGTCCAGAGAGGCCACAGACCACAGGTTGGAAACCACTTCCCCTCCCCACCCCTCATCCCTTCCACGCACACGGCTGCTTTGTGCATACACGTGACAGCTTGAGTGCATTTTAGCGTCAGAGTGTTTAGACCTTCTCGTAACTGCATCTTCTTTTCCAGATTTGGTTCTAGAGGTTTTCAACAAGCGCCTCCAAGGCCAGAGTGTTTT